AGAAACGATTCCATTTACAATAGCATCAAAAACCATAAGATACCTCGGAATAAACCTAACCAAAGAGGTAAAGGATCTATACTCTAGGAACTACAGAACACTCAGGAAAGAAATTAAAGAAGACACAAAAAGATGGAAAAATATTCCATGCTCATGGATCGGAAGAATAAACATTGTTAAAATGTCTATGCTGCCCAGAGCAATCTATACCTTCAATGCCATCCCGATCAAAATTCCAATGACATTTTTCAAAGTGCTGGGACAAACAATCCTAAAATTTGTATGGAATCAGAAAAGACCCTGAATCACCCGGGAAATGTTGAAAAAGAAAAACAAAGCTGGGGGCATCACGTTGTCCGATTTCAAGCTATATTACAAAGCTGTGATCACCAAGACAGCATGGTACTGGCACAAAAACAGACGTATAGACCAGTGGAACAGAATAGAGAACCCAGATATGGACCCTCAACTCTATGGTCAAATAATCTTTGACAAAGCAGGAAAAAACATGCAATGGAAAAAAGACAGTCTCTTCAATAAAGGATGCTGGGATAATTGGACAGCCACATGCAGAAGAATGAAACTCGACCATTCTCTAACACCATTCACAAAGATAAACTCAAAGTGGATGAAACACCTCAATGTGAGACAGGAATCCATCAAAATCCTAGAGGAGAACTTAGGCAGTAACCTCTTTGACATCGCCCACAGCAACTTCTTTCAAGATACATCTCCAAAAGCTAGTGAAACAAAAGCAAAAATGAACTTTTGGGACTTCATCAAGATAAAAAGCTTCTGCACAGCAAAGGAATCAGTCAACAAAACAAAGAGGCAACCCACAGACTGGGAGAAGATATTTGCAAATGACACTACAGATAAAGGGCTGGTATCCAAGATCTATAAAGAACTTCTCAAATTCAACACCCAAAAAACAAATAATCAAGTCAAAAAGTGGGCAGAAGATATGAAAAGACACTTCTCTGAAGAAGACATACAAATGACTAACAGACACATGAAAAAATGTTCATCATCATTAGCCATCAGGGAAATTCAAATCAAAACCACACTGAGATACCACTTTACATCAGTTAGAATGGCAAAAATGGACAGGGAAAGAAACAACAAATGTTGGAGAGGTTGTGGAGAAAGGGGAACCCTCTTACACTGTTGGTGGGAATGCAAGTTGGTACAGCCACTTTGGAAAACAGTGTGGAGGTGCCTCAAAAATTTAAAAATAGAGCTACCCTATGACCCAGCAATTGCACTACTGGGCATTTACCCCAAAGACACAGATGTAATGAAAAGAAGGGCCATATGCACCCCAACGTTCATAGCAGCAATGTCCGCAATAGCCAAACTGTGGAAAGAGCCGAGATGCCCTTCAACAGATGAATGGATAAAGATGTGGTCCATATATATATGGAATATTACTCAGCCATCAGAAAGGATGAATACCTAACTTTTACATCAACATGGATGGCACTGGAGATTATGCTAAGTGAAATAAGTCAAGCAGAGAAAGTCAATTATCATATGATTTCACTTATTTGTGGAACATAAGGAATAGCATGGAGGACATTAGGAGAAGGAAGGGAAAAATGCGGGGGGGAATTGGAGGGAGATATGAACCATGAGAGACTATGGACTCTGAGAAACAAACAGGGTTTTAGAGGGGAGGGGGGAGGGGGGATTGGTTAGCCCGGTGATGGGTATTAAGGAGGGCACGTACTGCATGGAGCACTGGGTGTTATACGAAAACAATGGATCGTGGATCACCACATCAAAAACTAATGATATATTGTATGGTGACTAACATAATAACATAATAAAATTTAAAAAAATAAAAAATGATAAAAAATGATATTTGTTGTCTTAAGACTTCCACAGTTTCTGTTGAAAAGTCCTCATATGAATCTCACTGTTTGCCCTTTTAAAGTAATGTACATTTTTTCTCTAGCTACTTTTAAGCATTTTTTTCTTTGTCTTTGGTTGTTAAGCACTTTTGCTATAATGGATCTAGTTGTGATTTTCTTTCTATTTTATCCTTCCTGGGGTCTGTAAAACATTTTGAATCTGTTGTTTCATATCTTCTGTCACTTTACAAGTCTCAGCCATTATCTCCTTGATATTTTTTCTGTCCCAATATCTTTCTCTTCTTCTAGAACTCTAATTTACATTAGAAAATTTTCATCAGGTCTCAAGTGTCTGAAGTTATTTTCTATATTTTTCCAACACTTTTTCTCTATGAGCTTCAATACAAATGTTTTCTATATTTTTCTAGTTCTTTAATTCCCTCCCCTGCTCATAAACTTATCTATTAATTTCCTAAATTCAGTCTGTATTTTTTGTTCTAAAATTTCCACTTAACTCATTATTACAAATTCCAGCTCTCAGAAGATATTCTGCATTTTTAATATATATTTTATAATGTATTAATCATAATTATCTTAAAACCAATATCCTATAACAACAATATCTGGGTAATCTGTGAGTCTGTATTTATTAATGATTCCTTGCTTCTTTGTTTAGCTAAGTTTACCATCAGTTGGCCCTGTTTCTTGACATAACTGATAATTTTTTACTGATTGCTGGACATTGTGCATGATAACTTGTAGAGACAACTGTCTTCCTCCAGAGGAAGGTAGAAAATATTTTATTTTCTTTTGTTAGGCAGTTAAGTGTAGGCAAATGACTTTCTTTCATACGGGGATTTAAGAGTATTTCAGGCTGGATTTCAGGCTTTGTGTAATCTGAAGTATTTCTGTTTGCTGTCACACACAGGGTGTCTCAGGGCCCCTCCTCCTCCATAAGGTCTCAACTCCAGTTTTTTCTTCCCTACATTATGAGACTCCTGAAACCATTGTTTGACTTTTTAATCTCTTAGAAGTTATTTTATACTTGTTTTCTTGGCTGCTGGCCCTGAGAATGCATGGGTTAGTAGTTAGCAAATATCTTAAAAGAAAATAATGAGCAGAATATCAGGCTTTTTTGGGGATTTCTATTTCTATGGGCGTCTTGGATGACTTGGATGGCCTGACCTTTAATTTTTGTCTCCCCAGTAGTGAGACTTCAGCAGACTCTAGGCTGCTCTCTGCTCTGCCTCTATTCCTTTCACTGAGAATTTGGCAATTTCCCTGAATGGAAAAAAAACAACTGAGTTATATATAGAGCTCACTTCAATGCATTTTTCTTCTCACTGGGATTGGGCCCTCAAATCCTTGTTGTTTTAGCTACTGTCTGATGTCTTCAAATAGTTTTTTTTTTCCTGGTATTTTATCCATTTTTATAGTTAAATGAATCTTATCAATGGCCCAGTTCCAATAAAGTTAGAAAACATTCAGTGGTCTGCTCTCAGCCCAGTGATTCTTATCAGGAGGCCAAGACTTGTCTTCATAATGGCCAGGCAGATAGATCATTTCTAAAGGTTTTCAAACAGATTCAGTTCCCAATGATAGACTTGCGACTCATGAAAACCATTGCTGGGTAAACCTTGCTGTCAGGACCCCCTGACATATACACCAAAAATGTTACCATTGGCAAATCAGGTATGCACTAATTTAGGGAAACTTTTCTACAGTGTTATATGCTCCTCTGCTACCATTGTTTTTGATGAGGATAAGTCAAGACACTCAAACTCACTATTAATTAGATTATTGGAATATGACCTTCTAGCCTACCACAAAGGCTGGAATGACACATTTGCTTTCATCTAGAAAGCACCAGTAACTTCACAAATTTCTGATTTCTCATGTACTCTGAGCTGAGAATACAAAATTTAGTGATAAAAGGACTGCAGAGCCCTAAAACTGTATCAGATACTGTAGAGCCAATGTAACCAAGCATGCTAAGCAAAGCATTCAGTTTGGATCACCACATGTTTAATTTTTTTATCGTCGTCTCCTTTGCTTGATATATGTAGCCTTTCTAAATGTTGACCTCATTCATTCCAGAGATTTTCATATTCTGGTTTCCTCCTGAACAGCAATAATATTTTTTCATCTATTGCTAACCTACTGCTCATCTTCCTTCTTCTCCAATCCATGATACTAGCTGTCCTTTGGAAACTTTCCCATATTTTCTTTAATTGTCAATTCAACATGTTCTGGACTCCACTTCACAATGACCCCATTAAACATGGGTTTGACATATATAGCATTATGTGATCTTCCTTCAATTTATTTCTCTCTGCTCCATATTTGATTACTAAGAAGATTCACTTTGCATAACCTTTTTAAAATCATTTATAAAGTGATTTCCAGTCTCTATAATCATTTTCTTTCCAACATGAAGATTTCTCCCAATTGTGGTAATTCAGTTTTAAAATAAATTTTGGTAGAATCCTACTCAAGATTCTTTGAAAGTACATACAAATTATATTGAATAATTACTCTTTAGCCACATTAACTTACTTAATGACTTATTGACTGACCAGGGAGATTTCCTTTACAATAGCAATAACACATTATAAAGGGAATTATCTTCCTTAAGAATGTAGAGGTTCCACTCAGTATTAAGGTGTCACCCTTTTCCTAGGTAAGCAGGCAAGCCCCACCTGCCTAAACTTCCCAGGATTCCCTCAGGAGCCCAATCCTGGATCCATGGATTCTGAGGAGCCATGCATGAAGCCCACAGGTCTTCTGTCACATTGATTACCATAAACCAAGTTTCACAGTCTAGCCGTCTTCTTTGCTAATTTCCCCCTTGAGGCTCTCCAAGACATAAAATGGATCTTATTACACATCAGCAACTCAGCAACTTATTTACATCTAGATCATATATTTGTCTAGAACATCCTGAGTATTTGCCACCGTTTGCTCTAATACCTCCTTCTTGTCTATATTGAAACATTTTGACAGAATCTCCCAAAAGCCATTCTCAGCCCAAGGCAGCTAATTCATTGAGTAAATTTAATTTTCTTTCTTTTTTCCTCAAACTCATTTCACATAATAATTTGGGGCCTGCTCAATTTTTCTACCATATTTGGTCTTCACTTCACTTACCCAGGTGACTGATGGCTTCTTTGTCCCAAGGCCAGGTGGCAGCACCAGCAAGGTCTTCCCGCACTGAGCTAGCAAAGTAGACATTGAGGAAGTGCGTACTGTTGAGCTGCAGTGCCTCCTTCAGCTCCTTCACACTCATGTATGCCCTGGAGAGCACACAAGAGCACAAACGTCACACCAAAGGATCAGTACATAGAAAGCAGAACCATACCTAATCAGACTGACACTCCCAGCCAGCATTGCCCTTTGGAGGGGCAGAGAGACAGAGACCAGGCTGTCATGAAGATAACAAAGAAGGCACTAGTACACATTTGGGATATTTATTCCAAGATAAATAATATCTTACCTTTTTAGCACTATATTATTTATATGAATGCTCAGTGTTTGACATCATACTCAATTCCCACTCTACATCTAGATTATTTCTTCAAGATAAATCCAATGATACTCCTAATTATTTGCCCTGAGTATTAACCCCAGGTCATGGTGAAGAAGGCCTTCCAACTCTCAGTTCCTGGTTCCTTCTATCACACTGCATGAACATTATTATGATCAGAGGAGCAACTGAATCTATTTCAGTATATGCTTGCTTCGGGCATTATTAAAAAAAAAAACAGTGGCCAGGAAACATAAGTAAAAAAGAGGAAAAAATAGATGAGTTATAGGTAGAAGAGGATATCATAAGGTTACTGCAAAGAATGTTAATTGTATATATGTATTCCTTTCTAGTCCCTTAATCCATAGAAACTACTACAACTCCAACTACCTTATGCTACTTACCAAGTATCTTTACTGGTAGCCTTCAATATACTAGGCAATATCATGTTTGCAGTGATGCACAGAATTAAAGGTCTATTAAAAACATATGCCATATGGCCCATAAAAAAAGGGAAACAGGCATTTTATCTCTTTATAAGCTCATATATAGTCAAAGACTTTCATCTTCCTGGCATCAGTGAAACTTTAAACTTACTATAAGCAAACAGGCTCACTCAACATTCTCACTGAAGAGCTATTTTAAGAACAAACAACTAAAGCAGAGCTCAGTGGCCCTTTGGATTCACAGGATGCTTCCCATAGTGACCACAGTCTGCCACTCAAAAGGGAGAATATTCCTATCACAGCTTCAACTGGGCAGACAGTTCCCTCAACATTAGTTGGAAATTTCCTTTATAGATCATGCTTCATTGTTGCTGTTCTGATAGACAAGCTGAAATCCAGAAGCTCATGTTAGGACAGCATGACCCTTCTTCTCTTGCTTGCTCTGCCTCCCAACCACACTGTTGATGCAATCTATTTAATCCACATGTAGGATATACTGGCAAGGAGTACCCAAGAAATAGAGATCCCAAGGAAGATTGTTTTTGTATTCTTTGGAACAGAACCAAAAAGCGGAATACAAGTTAAGAAACAAAAAAGATTCGGCTTTAGAACCAAAGATACTTGGGAGAAAAGAGATTTAAAAATACTTTTTCATATTGACTTATAATATCTTGGAAAAATAGTTTTAAGCCCCAAGAAATCATCCAAATTCCATGAGGTGATGTCAGATGTGATCAGAGGGATATTCCTTCTGCTGCTTTCCTGGAGACACAATGTTTTCTGGACTGTTGCCTGGTTTTCCCTGGATATTAGTCACATTCTCTTTCTCTTTCTCCTTTATTAAAAATAATTACAATTTCCTGTATTGACAAATTGATGGTTTGGAGCTGTGATGACATCAAGTAATTCTTCAACATGGAGATGTAGGCCAGAAGAATGAAGCAGAGAGAGGGTGAATGGGAAAAGAGAGAAGGAAAGGATGGGAAACAAAAGGAATGGAAAGGACAAATAAGGGCAGAGAGAATCAGAGACTGAGCCTACACATAGCTCAGGATACCAAGGAAGACAAGTCACACCCTTTCTCTGTTCCTATTCCAGAGTTCCCACTAAAATTGGGAGTTGGTAACTTGACAGTTTTCTCTCTTTTCTCCTCCCTCACTTTCCCCAAATCCCCCAGGTCCTGGCATGGTTTACTTGGGCTATCTCTGTGTTACTGGCTTCTCCATCTGCCATTTACCAGTCTTGGCTGCCATCCTTCTGTCCTCCCTCAACCCAGCAGTTCCACTAATTTCCCTTGAGCACCCTCCAAGAGGCCTCCTCCTCCACCACCAACCTCATTAGCTGGTTCTACTCATCTCCCTTTTTCTTCTTTCCCCAAACCTCTCTCCAGCCATAAATTACCCTTCCAGATGAGAGTATTTATGTCATGCTGGTGACAAACTGGGTGTGGTTACTCTGACTCCTACACTCCACAGAGATAAATGTGGACAGAAGTCAGCAAGTATAAGAAGCAGAACACATTTTAAAAAGCTAGAGACAGTTGGAAACTGTCATTAATTGAAATGATAGAAGAAAATCTTATTTTGTTGGAAACAAAGACTTTTTTCTAGATTATTCCTTAATCTAAAAAGGGTAAAACTTAGATATCAGTGTGTCTGTTTTATATGTTGAATGCCCTACCTATTATAAGGTGTACACCTTTTCACAAGTTGATTGGAGCTAATAAAGATAAACATCTTATTAATGTGATCAGAGCCTGGCTTAGACATTGGGTATGGAAAATGAATATTACTCTTAAATTCAGAGCTTTAGAAATGATTTGTGAAGAGATAGACTTGACATCTAAAATAACTTAATATTCAAGGAAAGGTCAAATAATACACATAAATGTCATAAAAAGCGTAAGTGCCTTGAACTGACCAGAACTATGTATGAAAAGGAAGATGAACTGCATTAATCTGCTTAATTTCTGCCAGGATCTCCCTTTGATCATACTGTCCATACTCTAGACTGAAGTACTCACCATAGACTTCTCCCTGAGACTCAGACCAACCAAAGTGAAGTTGTGTTTTGATTTTTATAAAAGTTGTCTCAGAAACAAGCTCTGCTTGAGACTGACATATTAAGTTGTTCTGTCCACTGCTCAAATCTGTTATTTCTGACATGGCCCCTGGAAGAATGCACACCTGCCTCACCATTTTATGACTGTGACCTACTGGGATTAACCACTACCTGGTATCCAGCACTTGTGTTTCTTTGTCCCCCAGACTTAGTGCATTCATTTTGATCCATGCCATGCTCCCTGACTGCTGACCCCACTCCAGTGTCTAAGTGTACATGCAAGCCCCAACTTTTGCTTAGTTTCTGACTAAGTAAAAGTGAAAAAATATTTTAAAATGCCTATTTGTGCTCTAGCTTAATAGTCAGCTGAGTAAGTAACTCCTTTATAGACTGATAGAAATAACTGCAAGAATGAAGCCAGAAAGAAGAAAAATATCATGAACTGTCTGAAGGATGTTGAACCAGTAACAAAAATTGGCACGTTGAAAAACAAGACATAAAGGATGCTTGTGTGCCCTGAGATCTCAGAGCAAGTCCTCTCCAGAGGAAGACCCTGACTGCACTCTACAGGGTGTAAGGTAGCCTCCATGACAACAAAACAAGATGCCCCCTAGGACCCTTGGGTCATGGAAACAACTGTGCCAACATGGGAATACTTTGGTTTGGCTAAACCAAAACCTTTCTGTTGTTACTGTATACCATGGTTCTCTATCCAACATATACAGAAGGGTTCCATCTGCCATCCCATCTACTATCTACTTTGCCAAACATGCTTCCTCCTCCTGGTGAATATCACCTTTGGCCTGCTCTCCCAAATCCTTTCACTGTGCTCACACCATGGGCTTATCAATCTGCAGAGTACCAACCAGCGCTCTCCCTGTGCCCAGTGCAACTCTAAAAACTTAGTTTTTCTCCTTCTCTTAAATTCCTCCTGCTCTTAGGTGTCTGGCACTCTACTACATCACCATACACTTTACTCTTTTTATTTTCCTACCTCCTGGTTAGTCCCTACACATCAAGGGTTCAGTGCCTTGCCCACAGCCTTCTCCTTCCCCACCTCCTATCATCCATTACTTAGGAAATTTCTTTTTTTTTTTTAATTTATTTTATTTTATTTTTTTTCTTTTTTCTTTTTTTTTATTCTTATGTTAATCCCCATACATTACAACATTAGTTTTAGATGAAGTGTTCCATGATTCATTGTTTGTGCACAACACCCAGTGCTCCATGCAGAATGTGCCCTCCTCAATACTCACCACCAGGCTAACCCATCCTCTCACCCCCTCCCCTCTAAAACCCTGTTTGTTTTTCAGAGTCCATCGTCTCTCATGGTTCGTCTACCCCTCCGATTTCCCCCGCTTCATTCTTCCCCTCCCGCTACCTTCTTCTTCTTCTTTTTTTTTTTTTCTTAACATATATTGCATTATTTGTTTCAGAGGTACAGATCTGAGATTCAACAGTCTTGCACAATTCACAGCGCTTACCATAGCACATACCCTCCCCAGTGTCTATCACCCAGTCCCCCATCCCTCCCGCCCCACCCCCCACTCCAACCACACTCAGTTTGTTTCCTGCGATTAAGAATTCCTCATATCAGTGAGATCATATGATACATGTCTTTCTTTTTGACTTATTTCACTCAACATAATACCCTCCAGTTCCATCCATGTCGTTGCAAATGGCAAGATCTCATTCCTTTTGATGGCTGCATAATATTCCATTGTATATATATACCAAATCTTCTTTATCCATTCATCTGTCGATGGACATCTTGGCTCTTTCCACAGTTTGGCTATTGTGGACATTGCTGCTATAAACATCGGGGTGCACGTACCCCTTCAGATCCCTACTTTTGTATCTTTGGGGTAAATACCCAGTAGTGCAATTGCTGGATCGTATGGTAGCTCTATTTTCAACTTTTTGAGGAACCTCCATACAGTTTTCCAGAGTGGCTGCACCAGTTTGCATTCCCACCAACAGTGTAGGAGGGTTCCCCTTTCTCTGCATCACCGCCAACATCTGTCGTTTCCTGACTTGTTAATTTTAGCCATTCTGACTGGTGTGAGGTGGTATCTCATTGAGGTTTTGATTTGGATTTCCCTGATGCCGAGCGATATTGAGCACTTTTTCATGTGTCTGTTGGCCATTTGGATATCTTCTTTGGAAAAATGTCTGTTCATGTCTTCTGCCCATTTCTTGATTGGATTCTTTGTTCTTTGGGTGTTGAGTTTGATGAGTTCTTTATAGATTTTGGATACTAGCC